TCCTTCCTTCCTTCCTTCCTTCCTTCCTTCCTTCCTTCCTTCCTTCCTCATTCTTCCTTTCTTCTTTTTTCCTTTCTTCCTTTTTTCTTTTTTTCTTTCTTTTGTCTCTACTTCCTTCCTTCCTCCCTCCCTCCTTCTTTTCCTCTCTACATTAGTTTGTGTTAGTTTTTATGCTCTCTATCAACTGTTAATAACATTCACGCACATACAAAAAAAGCCCATGCAGTTGGAAACAATCATTTTTTTTTTCATTCATTTGACTGATACCACATGGTAAGCAAAGGAATTTGGTCAACTTTTCAACAGAAGTTGGGCTCTCACTTTTTTCTCCGAGTTCTGGAACATTTCCATTGCTTCTATCACCTGGGCCTCTTCGTAACCCTGTTTCAGAAGTCTGTCGCAGGCACTGAGATAACTGAGAAACTATTAAAAAGAAAGCAGAAGAAATTGAAATGCTGTTAATGAACTGAGCACAATTTTCAGTAAAAAGGGATCAATCCACCTCCTAGACCATAGTTTAGGACACAACTTACACAATCCCTCCCTTACTTTGTAGAACCAGTAATATAATCTGGAACCCTGGAATCATCACTTGCAAAGGACAACCAGATCCATGCAAGCAAACTAGTAATGGCAGCTTTTAATGTAGAACAGCAGACAGAAATGGAGGGGGAGATGAAGTTAAATGAGTCATTAGCTTAGAATCCTTACATTTCTAGAAATGGTCTAAGTCCAACCCTTCTTGAATTCTGTTGACCCTTATCTTCTGAACTGCAACTTAACTATGGTCCTGATTCCTTGTGTCTGACACTTCTCAACCCAAGTATTATATGGGTTGCATGATGAGGATAATGGAAATCATAGTCCTACATATCTGGAGAATACCTAGCTGACTGTAGTTGACCAAGCTTGGGAAGTAGGTAAAAAGGTGACCACGATTGCAGCCCTAGGAAGGCAGATTCCAAATAAATTAAGAAAAAACTTCTGAGTATAAAAGCAGTTCAACAATTGAAGTATTGACCTGGAGAAAAGATACCGTCCCCTTTTCTGCAGGAGTATCTTTTAAGATTATTTAAATTCAGATTCTTCCAATACGCAGAATTCTCCTCCTTAGTTTCTTTCAACTACATTTTCATCAAAAGTCCTCATTTTCAAAAAATCTGCTTCATCACTTCCCTTGGGATATTTTTTATGAATACGAAATGAGAAAGGGAGAACTAGATGTGCTGTGTTGAGCTCTTCTTAAAAAAAAAGTGGGATTACTACTTTCTCTGCAAAATAATTTGTCTTCCACTGATGCATATGGAAGACTTTGATTTTAAAAAAGGGAATTCTCTTTTTAGACTAACTAGGTGAGAATTCTCACCTAAAAAGGTGAGAATACATGCAAAACCACCACTGTGGAGAGAGAGGAGTCCATCAAGTGAGCGAACAGAATTTGGGGAGCACAGATGCAGAATCACTATGTCACACTCAACAACTCTTTTCTAATGTCACTAATGATCACTTTCACATTTTTAAAGTATTTCTGATTAGTTCCTATGCAACAGTGCTTAAGTATGTGTGTGCATGTGTGTTTGTGTGTGCGTGCACGCACTCTCTCTCTCTCTCTTACACACACACACACAGAGGGGTCCCTTGATACTCTATAAGCTTGGTGTTTTTCTTTGCAGATATTTTATTACCAAACTAGACAATATCATCAGTACTAGAAGGGATTGGGGTTTGCTGTCTATTCTAGCAATGATGCTATTACCTAGTTTGATAATTAAATATTTGCAAAAAAAACCCAAACAACCAAGTTCAGAGAGCATTAAGGACCCCACAATTCAACCTCGTGCAACAAATATTCTCTTCTATTGTGTATATAATGTATATTATGTATATAAAACACTTATTTCCTGGAACATTTTTTTAGCCTTCAAGAACTTGGCTAAGCCCTATGATTTGTTGGCAATAATTTTGGGAGTGAGTTGCCCTTGGCTTCTTTCTAGGATTAAGAGAATAACTTGAAACATGATTTAGAGCAAGACTTCATGCATACGATTGCAACTGTCAACTAATAAATTTCTTTCTAGACATCAAGGTGCTATCAGTCTCTTTCATCTTGTTTTAGCAGAAAAAAAAAGATGAAGTGTATTGTATCTTTAAAATATTATACACCTTGAATGAAGAATATCCCAACCAGCAGAATCAGGATTACACAATTAGTGACTGGCAACGGAGAAACAATTTCTAAGCCTTGAATTTCTGTAGCAAAGCTCCAGGATTTCACCATCAGGGTGATGTAAAGTAAATGTTTGGCCTTTGTGTAAAATTTTAACAGGTGGGGGAAAGGCTAAAGCAACCATAGGAAGAAGCTTGCAAAAGCTTTTTAAGTGGTGCAGTTGTATCACAAAAGCTGCAAGACTTTGACTATTCATACATTACAGGCTGTGCTCAGCCGTCAAATTAATCTTTCGTTGTTGAATAAGCCATGTTTGGCAAGGTTCACCCACATGGACTAAGGGCTAAAATATGTCTACTGAAGTGTGAGGAATCTGAAGACTGGCACATTTGTTGATATAAATCTAATCACTGCTTCCTGTAAAGCACATGAAAACTCTTTACAGATTTTATTCAGTTTTTCAGTGCGAAGATCTTGGATAAAGTTAAGTTAGCTTGTACGTGGAGATTCTCAGTCATCCAGGTCATGGTTGTCCCAAAGGTGCTTTTTCAAGAGGCAACTGGACATTCTGGTTTTTCTTTGAAGACGTTTCCCTGCTCATCTAAGAAGCTTCTTGAGAGCTGAAGAAGCTTCTTGGACGAGAAACAAAACATCTTCAAAGAAAAATCAGAAAGTCCAGTTGCCTCTTGAAAAAGCACCTTTGGGACTAAGGCTGCTTGGCTGATTAGATGACTCTCTGGACCTAAGAAAGCCTAACTCAGCACCTAGAGAGAGACAAAACTTCCCTTCTTGTGAGTCTGAGAAACGGAGTCTGTCATGGAAAAGCCTAGAATTATTTTTGATTTTATTCTTGGAGAACTGACTGCATAGTTCTCCAAAGCATTCCCTTTTAAATACCATAGCAGCCCTTCATCCCTTGGGAATCCGTGATTGGCCCGAGAAGGCCTCCATCCTATTTTTAAAAACCCATTTTTGTGGAAACAGTACGTTCTTCCCGGTCTGAAATGGGCACAGCTAGTGACCCAGCAATAGTCCTTGAGACACAACTCAGCCCTCAATCCCAAAACTGATGGATAAGTTCCGAGGAAACGCACAAGTGTCTCATTTTGGAAATAGGCGATTAAAAAACAGCCTTAAACTCAATGGCTGTTGAGAGGGATAAACCTGGAGTTCAAATGGAAGCTAATAAAAATAAAGTGTTCCCATTTATTAACCATGGAAAATAAACTATGTTGATATTGGAGAGGAATAATTATTCAACGGCTAAGGAGAAATTTTAATACAGCCAAAGTGTACACCTGTTCAGTTGGCTTTTCTCTGCTTAATTGCAATCTTGCTTTTATATTTGTTTTTCATTAAGAGGAATGGGTAACCTTTTGAGGGGCACGCAGATGGTGATAGGGTCAAAGTGTTTTGACCTTGAACCACTTTCCTTTGGTAGAGTGGCAGCAGAAGGAAGAATGAAACTGTCAGTTCTGTTAATGACACGCTGGGTGAAATTTCTGAGCTTCTAGAAGTTGTTAATACAAATAATAACCAGAAATGCACATCACGTAATTAGAATGATGACCCTGGTGAAGGCGCTGTTTGGGGAAGCTGATTTTGGATTTGCAAGTAAGTATTTGTTTGTAAATAAGTATTTATTTGTAAATAAAACCTGCTTCCTTGAATGAAAGGTCATTGACAGTCTTCACTAAGGACTTTCTAGCCCTCGAGCCTTTCAAAATATTTGGTGGTTATGCTTCTGACTGTGCTATTTGTCTAATGTTGCTTATTTTATCGTTGGTCATATATTGATGGTTGCAATCTCTGGTTCGCTATGCTTTTTGGGTGGCAAACCAGAAGCAGCTGTGGGAAGGTGTCCAGATGTCAAGATGGTGGCCATGACCACACAATCAAAACCGCATTCTTTTTTTTTAACATGGAGGGAATGTAAAAAGGGGCAGAGCTTGAATTGTGTATTGCCATCTTAATTTTGTTGACTACCCTCCCCACCCTTAGTTGCATTACATCTCTACCATGCTTGCTGTGTTGCTCTTGTTGCTGTTATTTCAAAGTAACTCAGATTGCATCTTAGCACAGGGCTGAAGTAAACTGACAAACCCAAGTTAAGTTTCCGTGGCTAAGAACTGCCCCATAAAATCTTTCAACCAGGAGCCAGAGACATTGTCCCTGGAGTTTTCAGGGTTATCACAACAGAAGCCAGACTCCCATGGCATCTCAGGACCCTTTCCCCAAATTATGGCACCATAGGGGAAAAAAAAACATTCTCCACTCTGCCCTAAAGCCACATGCAAATTTCAATTTCAAGAGTCTGCAGCGAAACTTCCAGTTTGCCAAAAAGAGAGCCATCTGTCTCTCCAGAATTTGAGTTGGCAAGGAAGGAGGTACTAGAGAGACAAATACACGAAAGGGACCCTACCAGCACATAATGTATTTTCTGAGGAAGTTCTTCACCTTGACCTAGAGAGTTGGAAACAATTTCGCCAGCTTTCAGGGTAGGAATTTGCCCCATCTTATTTGGAGAGGAGACTCCTGCAAGTCCCTTGGACAGCAAGGCCATCCAACTGGTCAGTCCTAGAGATCAACCCTGACTGCTCTTTAGAAGGCCAGATCCTGAAGATGAAACTCAAAGTCTTTGACCACCGAATGAGAAGGAAGGACTCACTGGAGAAGACCCTAATGCTGGGAAAGATTGAGGGCAATAGAAGGAGGAGGGGATGGCAGAGAAGGAGGTGGTTGGATGGAATCACTGAAGTAGTTGGCGTGAGCTTAAATGGACTCCAGAGGATGGTAGAGGACAGGAAGGCCTGGAGGAACGTTGTCCATGGAGTTGCGATGGATTGGACACGACTTCGCAACTAGCAACAACAACATTTGGAGAGGGGAAACTGAACCCCAAATCCTCTGCAGATCAGCTCTTCCCACTTTTCACAATCAGGTGTACTCATGACAGCCTTCTGGGAATAGTGTTGTGTCACCTGGAGAGGGCACACCTTCTCCGACACGAACGAAGATGTCCCCTCTTTGGGAAGAGAACCAGTCCTAGTTCTGTCCTACCTGTCCTAAGCTTTGTCTCCCGGTCTTCTGCAGAGCAAGGATCGCACGGCGTATCGGATAACCCAAGGCTACCACCGGCTCAATCAGTTCGCGCTCCTCTTGGCTCAGCACCGAGAGCAGATCGGTGGTGGAGTCCGGGTGAGCTCTGTGGGGACTAAGAGGTTGCTGGGTCCCTGGTGGGGGTGGGAGGCAGGAATACGGGCTGAGGGACTGCAAAATAAAAATAAAACAAGAGCGTTTAACGTCAGTTAACTTGGAGAAATCTTTATTAGCCATCTGCTCTTTCGTGAGACTTTTCAGAAGGATGTTCTTCTCCTCTGGAATATGTGCAACCCTTGTGGGTATGCCAAGAAAGCGCTTCAAGTCTTTGTCATATTAAAATTAATTCAGCCCAGCCATAAAGCGAGCCAGGAAAATTCCCACAGTTCGAACAATCTTTCCCCACCCCCACACCTATTAACATCCTGTTTTCATTTCTGTTTTTCTAACGTTGATTCGGAACCATCCTGATTTGGAATAAAAATTGTTATGTTTCCAAGGAGATGACAAAGGCTGATAAAACAATAATGAAGACAGGGAAGCTGAGTCCTGGGAAATAAAACATTGACGCTTTTAACTTAGAACAACATCTTTGTATCATTCAAAAATCTGGTTGATGTGGTTTGGGGAGACGTTTCCCTTGGTGCAGTTTTCAGATGGTGGTGAAGTCCTTCCGTGACTGTTTTTTTTTCTAGTCATCATTCAAGCCCTCTCTTAGGCTGTCTCTGGCTATGACAGTCAGGGTATATTATTCCCAGCAGTTCCCAGCAATGTCTATATCTGTATCTAGCAGAACTACTATTGCTGGAACTGCTGGGAATAATATACCCTGACTGTCATATATATACTTCTGGAGGCAAGCTGTTCTGTCGATTAATTGTTCTCATTGTCAGAAAATTTCTCTTTACTTCTAGGTTGGATCTCTCTTTAACAAGCTTAATTATTATTAATTGATTCCACCCATTAATCTAATTTCATCCAAGCTTTTTTAAGGTATGGATACCTCTACAAATGTTTAAGAGTTGTTGCTGGAATTGTGATTGAGACATTGGAACAGTAACTTATATGGTTGGATTTGTCTGATTATTGTTACATTTTGGGCTTAGAACCATAGGATTGCTAACACGAATTTAGATCGATCTTGGTTGGTTCAAGAATGATGATGTTTTGCTTGGCTGTATCCCCAACATTTGGAATCTATCAAGACAATGAGAAATGTGGCTCTTTTATGCATGGGATACAGCCAAAATAATTATTATACAACATTGGAAGGACAAATATGTACCTGAATTGCAGCAATGGGTTACTGACGTGTGTGTTTGAGTTAAGAGTACTTGGATTTTGATGTGAAAAGGGGCAAGAAAGGGGAATAAGCAATTCAACCAACATCTAAGAGTAGATGGATGAGATAAATTTCCAAGCTTTTTCCCCTTTCTTGTCTATATGATCTGTTTCCAAGGGGTGGAAACTTTCCTTGATAACATATTTCAAATTTCTAACACACACTAGGAATAAAATAGTGGAAGAATTTTACAGAGAGTTCTATTTGCAAAACAGCATTCATCGAAGAAAGGCAAGCCAAGGACCTTCACACAAATCAAACCTTAAAATGCAAACACTCTACAAGTGTTTAGATTCTCTCCCTCCCTCCCTCTCTCAAATATATTTCATATATGTTATTTACATTATAGGATCAAAACATTAATTTGCTTATGTTTATTTATAAGTTTTGTTAACTGGGCTTCAGCTGTCGCCTCTCAAAGTGTACAGGACTCTTAAATCTGAAGAGCCCCGTGTTCAAAGTAACAACAAGCAATGCAGCCAAACACTCATCAAATAAAACCACATGAAACAAAACCTCGACAAAATGAAAAACAAAAACTTCTGGATGATGGGGCTTACAGAGAATTAAAACATTCCATTCCACTCATTCTCCATGCTAAACCGATAAAGAGTCCAAAAGAATTTCATCATATAGCTTGGCACACACGGGTAATGTTTATGTTACCTTAAGTCACCCTAGTTTAACTCTTGCCTCCTTCTAAGTATCCTACAGAGAAGAAAGCTATCTTCCTTGGGGGTATTAAATGTCATAATAATATGAGCAGAAAAATAGGAAAGTAGTTATGTCTAGCCTAACAAAGAGAAGGACTAGAGGTGATATTGGAGCAAGCTTCCAATAGTTGAGGGGCTATCAGAGAGAAGAGCGGGGATTGACTTATTCTCTAGAGCATCTGAGGGCAGGACAAGAAGTAACGGTGGAAGATCATTAAAGAGAGATCCAAGCTAGAACTAAGGAGAAATTTCCGGAGAGGGAGAACAATTAATCAGTGGAAGTTGTGGAAGCTTTATCACTGGAGGCTTTCAAGAAGAGATTAGGCAGCCATTTGTCTGGAATGGTATAAGATCTCCAAAATCCCTTCCAACCATATTATTCTATGTTCCAACAGAATTTTAGCGTATATAGAGTTTTCAGCACCGTTGGCTGAAAGTCTCAAATGTTGTACAGACGTTAAGGTAGTTGGAGCTAAAATCAAGACCACCTTAAGGTTACCGAGACCATTCCTATTTGGTGTGTCGTATGATTTAAGAATAAACCTTGTATCTGGGTTGGAGGAACCGAGGAGGTAAGGACAAGTCAACAAGGAAAAGGAAGCAGTTGACGAATCAGCTCTTCGTTTCTTTTCCAAGATGCTGAAAAAGTCATCAAAATGCAAAGCCTCTTTGAAGCTTTGGAACTGATCTTGTTTGCAGAGTTTTGGAAATTGAGAAGGATCAAGGCTCAGGGATAAAGATGACTCATCAGCAGCTCGTCCACTGCAGTATCCACTCCTCATTAACGGCTTAAAAAAACAGGAAGGAAAAGACCAAGAAATGATATTCCTTCCCTGGGGGAGGTTCTTCTTGAATGACCTTAATAGGGATTAGATAGGATACACTGCAAATTCTTCTCTTTTCCTATTGTGCGCTAATCAACCTACAATATGCATATGTGTTAATGAAGCGGTCTGAATTTTATTTTGAAGTAATTCCTTAGGTCAGGTGTCCACAGTCATCAGTGGTGCTCACTTGAGATCTGACTTCAATTTCTTTTCGTTTATTTTAAGCAATAAAATAAATAAAATAATAAAATAAAATAGAGTAGAGTAAAATAAAATAAATCAGGAACTTAGAATGCTAGAAGGTAAGAGACTTTCTCCAGAAATATTTGTACAGGTAGTCCTCAACTTACAACCACAATTGAGCCCAAAATTTATGCCGCTAAGTGAGAAATTAGTTAAGTGAGTTTCATCCCATGTTATGACTTTTCTTGCTACATTTTGCTAGGTGAATCACTGCCATTGCTAAGTTAGTCACTTGGTTGTTAAGTGAACCTGGTTTCCCCATTGACTTTGCTGTCAGAAGGTTGCATCACGGGACACGGCAACTGTCATACATGTGAGTCAGATGTCAAGCATCTGAATGTAATTCGTGTGACCATGGGGGTGCTGCAACAGTCATAAGTCTGAAAAATGGTCATAAGTCACTTTTTTTGTAACTTTAAACAGTCTCTAAGCGAACTTTTGTAAGTCGAGGACTACCTGTATTTAGAACATAGAATAAGAGGGTTGGGAGGGACCTTGGAAGTCTTCTATTCCAACCCACTGACCATGGTGTGAGATCCTAGACCACTCTGGACAAGGGGCTGTCCAGTCTCTTCTGAAAAACCTCCAGTGATGGGGCACCCACCACTTCTGGAGAGAAGGAACACCTGGGATTCGAACCTCTGTCTCTCAGACCAAGGGCAATAATCTAACCACTAAGTTATCCAGCCACTCACCTGTTTAAACAAACGCCATAAAAATGGCAGAAGGTGCTTTATTAGGAATGTGACCATCTGCTCAAACAAATAAGGCAGTGTTGTACTTGGAGTATTTGAAGAGCTAGAAGGGATTGCAGAAAGCAACTTCACTAATTCATTTTTATTAAATAGGTATTTTGTGACCAGTCAAACCCAGTGGTCATTTTGTGAGGTTGGAATGCTCTGGTCCACAAAGGTTGCTCATCTCTGCTTTTCAGCTACATCCAAAGTCAGTCCACACTCAACCCTCTTTAATACAACACTCAGATTCCACATCCAAGTTAGGCAGTAAACTATAGATCTCCAGACACTTAATCCTTAAGTCAGCTCTTGGCTAGACTTTTCAGAAAGCTCCCATAGATCACTTTAAAAAAAATTATTATATCTCAGGAAAGAACGAAGCCAGAACCCAGTGGCTGATGGTCCACATCAGTGCAAAGAGAGCAGAATTTTCATATGTCTATCCTGCAGCTTTCACGTTTCTTCCTCCTGCCCTGACAAATTCATGGACATTTGGTGTCTCCCTTGGGCAGCTGTGATGTTTAAACAACGACCCTCTGTCGCCTGGGAATCACTGGTTTTCACATTGTCCCTTTCAGCTTTAAGCAGATCCCCTTTTAGTACAAACAGACATTTTGATCTTAGTTAACCATGTATCTGCACAACAGGAGCAGTGCTGGATGAGACCGTGATTTAGGCGCAATCTCAACCTAGTTATCTGAATTATGAGCTGGCTCATTCATGCGCACATGGCGTTTATCAACACTGTTTGACAACTGCATGTAACCCGGAATGCCCTATACATTTCTCTCACACTGTCTTTAAAGCATTATTTTGTAACGTTAGTGCATTTGGGTTTGGCTAGTCTAGAGAAAAGAAGAATTAAGGGTGACATGATAGCAGTATTCCAGTATTTGAGGGGCTGCCACAAAGAAGGGGAGGGGGGGGTCAAATTATTTTACAAAGCACCAGAGGGCAGGACAAGAAACAATGGACGGAAACTATCCAAAGAGAGAAGCAACCTGGAATTGAGAAGAAACTTCCTAACAGTGAGGACAATCAACCAGTAGAACAGCTTGCCACCAGAAATCGTGGGTGCTCCATCATTGGAGGTTTTTAGGAAGAGACTAGACAGTCACTTGTCTGAAATGATATAGGATCTCCTGCTTGAGCAGGGGTTGGACTAGAAGACCTCCAAGGTTCTGATCTTTGGCTCCCACATCCTGTGGTTCTATAATAGGGGTCTTCAAGCTGGACAGCTTTAAGACTTGTGGATTTCAACTCCCAGAATTCCTCCTCCTCCAGTCATGTTAGCTCAGAAATTCTGGGAGTTGAAGTCCACCAGTCTTAAACTTGCCAAGTTTGAAAACCCTTGCTCTATAACATCACGACTCAGGAAAAAAGGAAAAACAAAAGAAAGATCGTTACTTACCGCCATGGTGGGTTTATGGTGTTGGATGGGGCCGATAAGCCCTGCTGAACGACTTGGCTTACAACAGGAAGTAGGTGGTGGTGGGGTGGGGATTAAAGTTTGTGCTAAGCGAGGAGGGGAACCGGCTCCGAATCGAAAGTTCCTGCTGCTTCTGGAGTGCTGGTGGAGAGAGAAAGCCTTAGAAACCAAGGCAGAATCTGTGGCGGTTCGGTTTAAGGGATGCATGACCGCCAACAGCTTCTTCTTGGCGCCTTCCAACTCGTTCTTCACATTGTCTAAAAAATACGTGGATTGCCTCGGCTTGCCCGAAAGGGATCTTGGGCAAGCGCTTTCTGATGCAGCAGTTAGATGCCCTGGGGAAGTCTTCGGCCTGCTTTGGGGAAGGTCGAAAGGCAGAAGTAGAGCATCGGGCATTGGTGCTAAATGTTCTTCACTGTCAGGTTCTTCAGAGGTGGTTGAGGAAGACTCCTTGCCTTCTGAGCCTTCCTGCTCCTCAGGACGCTGGCCTAAGTCCTCCCTTTCCGTCGTCTTCTCTCTGCGGCCAGGGCAGTGGAGCCTCTCAAACTTGGTGCCCAGATTCATACAGCTTTGGACACGGATCATTTCTTTGGTTTTGCAACTTGTTGCCTTGTGGCTGCTGGCCAGGTTTTCTTTAGAGTCCACCAACAGAAGCCAACAAGGAGGGGCTGTGGGATACATATTCGAGGTCCTGTTAAACCAGGGAATCTCTTGCCGCAAGGCCGAGTCGATCCAGTAAAGGACCTTTTTCTCTAGTGAAAAATCATGCTGTTGAAAGGCAAGAAGACGAAATGTTAGCATTTTCCCAGCCAAGCTAAACACGTAGAGAAGATGAGACAGAATATACGGTCTAATTCCAATGTCCAGTGTCACAACATCTGGAGCTTCTCTTTCCTTGAGCCAAATCCCAAACTATCTCTGTCCATCAAATCCATTGGGGTCAGCTTGAAAATATGACTTCGATAAAAAGAAAACCTTAAAGGAACCATTTTGACTTAAGACCTACGTGTATCTTAAATTCCTTGACGTATGACCACAATTGAGTCCAAAATGTATGTATGTTAAATGTATATTTGTTAAGTGAATTTTGCCCCCAATTTATGATCTTTCTTGCCAGAGATAAGGTTGTTAAGCAAATCTAGCTTCCCCATGGACTCTGTTTGCCAGAAGGTTACAAAAAGGGATCAGAAATATCAGAGTCAGTTGTCAAACATCTTAAGTTTGACCATGTGACCATGGGGACCTGGCAAGGGTCATACGTGTGAAAAACGGTCATAAGTTACATGCTGTTATAACTCTGAGTGGCCAGTAAATGAACTATTTTAAGTCTAGCAATACGTGTAGATGATGACGGTTCTAATTCATTCAGTATCTTAAATTCTTTTGGCAGATTAGAATGTTACTGAAAATATTAAAACTTTCCAAAAATATTAAAAATAAAAAACAGTAAAATAATGCTATTAATCAATAGAGCAGCAAAAGAACTAATAATCCATCGCTTATCTAAAACCAATCTGAAAATTATTCCACCTGTATGCATATTTCTTGAGTAGGCAGGGACCCAATGAACTAAACGAATGTTGAACCGTAGGTATGATCCCACCTAAGACAAACTTAAGCCAATCATTGTAAACAGATCACAACTAAATTTAAAGTGGACTAAATTGAATTCTGCTAACAGAAAGCCAATACCGTAGATACGAACAATTGAAATACTAACACAGGATCAAATCAACATACTGAAGCTGCATTTTTATGATAAATAAATTTGCACTCAGGTTTTTGAGTCACCCCCCCACCTCGTTGTAAAGCTCCCAGAATTTCAAAATTAATGTAGCAAAGTATTTTCCCCCCCTTCCAATTTATTCAACCTTCTTTCGGAAAAGAAGATGGCTTTTTCTTCAGGAAAGCTTTGTAAATTAGATTAATAAGTGTTCCAGCTATTATCACTGGATTTTAACCACTTTGTTTTCTTCTTTGTACTGTTTAGTCAGATTATTTTTGCTCATGTGACAGCAGTTTATTATAAAAAAGCAAATTCCAAATGTTACAATCCTGCCTTCAAATAAAGTCTCACTCAACACTTTCAATGTCAATTTTTAACTTGAACTGATGATTAATTTCTTTGGGTTGGGGTTTTGAAGATAAATAAACATTTTGGAACTGCAAAACGCAAAATACTACAAAATAGATTGGGCCATCCAAAACACCAGATCTTTCCCTGTTTTTTTGTTCATCTATAGATTGGAGTATTTTAAATAGGAAGCCTGAAAAACCTAAGGAAATGCACACCCAAAGTGAGAAGAGGCATTCTGAAAACTTACACTGCAATATAACGGCAAAGATGATTTTTGGAGAAGTCTTATTCAAAAAATGCAATGATGCTCTCTGCTGGTGGGAACACTCTGAGTACACAACACAACAGGAAAAAGAAAAATATTGAAATACCCAAGCCCAAAGTTCTAAGTAACTGAAGATTGTCTCTATATAGCACCTGTGATGGCGCAATGGTGAGGATGCAGTATTGCAGGCTAATTCTGCCGACTGCCAGCAGTTCGATTCTGACCAGTTCAAGGTTGACTCAGCCTTCTAGCCTTCCGAGGTCGATAAAATGAAGACCCAGATTGTTGGGGGCAATAGGCTGACTCTGTAAACTGCTTAGAGAGGGCTGTAAAAGCACTAGAAAGAGGTATATAAGTCTAAATGCTAAGTGCTATTAATAAAGGTAGCCTCAACTTACAACAATCATTTAGTCACTGCTCAAACTTAGAACGGCACTTCAAAAAGTGCCATGGTCATGTGATCAAAATTTGGATGCTTGGCAACTGGCTCATATTTATGATAGTTGCAGTTTCCTGGGGTCAGGTCATCCCTTTCTGCACCCTTCTGATGAGGAGAGTCACTTGACCATGTTATTAAACTAACAAACGCTGGGATTCACTTAACAGCAGCAAGAAAGGTAAAACGGGACAAAAGTCACTTAACAATCATCAACAGGAATTTTGGGCTCAATTGTGGTTGTAGGTCAAGGTTTACCTGTACTGTGTCAGAAATCTTTGGAGAACAACTGTTGACTAGGATGGGCGGATGGAGGGAGGGAGAGAGAGAATTAGACACAAAGGCATTTTATTTTGAAAACTGCTCTGGGGATTGTTATGGAAACACACTTCAAAAAGGCTTAGGAGACAGTTAATTCTTTGCAGATGGACTTGCATATATCGTAGAGAAAAAAACAAGAAAAAAGTACCATGTTGATAGCGATCTAAGCAATTGCATTTTTAGGATTAGCTGAAATACAATATATCTGCTAAGTGAGTAACACTTGGTTTGCACGGATTCATGTCCAATTCCCCTTTGACAATCCAGTTCTCTTTCCTTGATTTTAAGGCAAGCCAACACAAGCTAGCTTTTTTTTAACCCCACAAATTATGATTCAAGCTTGTTCTGCAAATTACAGGCACCCATTGAGATTAGCACGTCTAAAAGTACAGCAAAAATATTTGTTCGTAGTAATGGTAAATATTTGTAGCTTGGGTGTAGGATGAGCGTCAAGATTCCTTCTCTGAGCTTGTGGATGGCCCATCAGTGTAGTAATTGAGAGAGGTATTACAACAATTGATCTGTTTACCATTGTGCACGTTAAAACCTCTGCCCATTTGGGCAGTTCAATCTGCGGCTGGTCGGCAGAGTTGGCGTCTCCCACAGGATCGTCCACAAAGCTTACGGTCACTCTGAAAGGTATACCTTCCAAGTAGTTCATCACGTCCCCCGGCTATATTATTCTAATAAAAAGAAACCAAAAGGTGTACTTAGGACTTTTAAAGACCCCATTTTAATTGCTACTGGTTATTTTAAAGGACTTACTGCAGAGATTAAATCACTTAGTGCTAACGTGCAAGCCAAGGGGACCGCAGCCAGCTTTAACATGCTGCATGTATATTTTTGTTAACTGGTTCCACATGCGCAATGTTGCAAGCGTTCCCAGAACATTAGCCATATGTTGCTCTAACACAAAAGACATATTAAGCCAGAGTGTCATGAGAAGGTGAGGGACTGGACAAACTAAGCAGGAAGTGATGAATCACCTTCTTATTTTGCCCTGTCTTAAGAGTCAGCTAAGGGAGGACAGCCACCATCAATCTACTTGCTTTGGCCAGGAGTTTAACTGGAAATTGGGGTCTGCTTCCCATCAGAAATATGGGACTGAAATTACAACTAAGTCTGCGCTGCAGATCATGTTACTCGATTTAGCTTGTGTAAAAGTTGGAAAAGAAAGTTGTGTACAAGAAGCTTCTTCCCATCTGCAACGTATCTATATTTGGCAACAAGCCAAGATTAGACATTCCCAAATTCTAGGCTCCTGGCATGGCATCCTACTTCAGAGTAGAGAGGCTAATGTGCCATGATCGGCAGTCATTTCTGGAACACAAGAAAACCTCTTCTTAAGTCCATATATTGATCTAACTCAAGCACACAAGATCTGTCTTGAGTTAATCAACTGTCATATTAAGGAAACTTTAGGCATTAAAATCGGTTAAGATAATCAATGACTTTAGATAAAAGTTATAAAAGATTCAAGGAAGGAAACAAAACTGTCAATTTCCAGAAATCTGTTTCCAAGTATCTATTAAATATTGTAACTGCTTTACAATGACAACTTTCCTTTGTGAAACATTTAACATGTGGTATTATCTGTAAAGCAACACAGAACAGAATTCGTCAGTCTTATTTCCTCCAAATTCAGCACTACGGTTCCCATAACCTCTAATAAGAGCTATGTGAAAGGCATCAAGTCAAGAAAAAGCTGCCCCATGGTAATTTTAACAGCTGAATATGGATAGATTGAAAAGTGCCAATTAAAACTATGAAGGCAATGAAATCCTTTTATTCCGCCAGTTTGAATTAAGGATATAAGATGAAGATCTGTTTTAGCAATTCTTAGATAATAGATTTCATGAACATACCAGACATGTCTTAGAAAGTATATGATCCCAGAATTGATCACAACTGGAATATTAGGCATGTAATATTTATCTCTGGTTGTAATTTAAAATGCCAACTTTAAAGTTTATCACAGCTACGATTATTTTACTTTTTAGAAAACATTAAAAAATAAGGAACAAGCCAAAGGAGAAAAAAATAACAAAGAAATCTTATTGCTCAGTATATGAACTATTGATAATATAGAAGTACAATGTTCTTTTGTTAAGGATTGGAATCCCTGAACTAAAAAATGTATTATTTCAAGAAATGTTAATTTATATCTGTCTGTATGCAAGAGATCCACCTCTGTACCTCAATTTATTTCTTCAGCTTAGCACTCAACTTTCCCAGTTAAACATGTTTATTTCTTAGGTAAAGAAAAACTCACCTTAGCAAGGAATTAGAAAGGCACTTGCTTGCTGGCAGGCACCTCCGCTGTTGTGGAGGAGCCCTGGCCAAGCCCAATGATTAGAGCTGCTTGAATAAGCGTTTGTCGTCAGGTTTTCCAATAGGGTAAGCAGACTAATCTGCTCCAGAATCCATATATAGGTCACTGTGCCCAGTGGAAACATATAATCAGGATTGTCTCAAGTGAAAATGTCTGGAAGTGAGAAGAGGGTCTGTATTTTCAACAATATTATGAAGAAAAATTTGCAACAATTTTGTTTCCAACAGCGACCACTGCTACATCTCGTGGCCAAAGGAAGCCAGATACAAGTGTGAAATGCTAATAATTTATTAAGTATAAACAAAAGGCAACATACTTTTATTAAACAGGGCTATAAGTCACTCTGACAATTTAGAGTTTCCCATTACAGCATCCTCAAAACTTTGTCGCAAACTTTACAAGACAATAAAGAAATTTTGCAGATGATTTGACAATTATCTTCCAACAAAAGTTTAACAAGCCTATTTATTGCGCACATATCCCTGACAAAAGCTATGGTTTGTACTAGCAATTTGGGTACAACTTGCTTTTTTATGCCATTAACAGCCATGTCTGGGGTTTCAATTTTTCTTAGGTCTGAGAAAAGATGATTAACAGGGTTTGTGGGTATAGTTATACAAATAAAATGTGTTAAAATAATAACTTTTTCTTAAAGAAATGCAGGAAAAAGTATGAAATTAGAAAACGTTCAGTCTTTCCAGTGTAAATAATGCTAAACTAAAGCAACTGGTATTAAATACTTAGAACTTTGTTTCAGAAGTAAGCAGAACTGAAGGAGCAAGTGAATGTAAAATAACCGTGTATCAAAATGGTATTAGCTGAGCAGTAGAAAAATGTACCAAGTTTGACATTTCTTTTGGTTAACAATAGTAATTTCTAGTTTGTTGCAAATTATGAATCACAGAATTTATACAGAATGAGTATTGTTCTTAAGAACTTTATATAGGAAATCTGTATAAGCATATATAGAGTTCCTGAGTAGCTAGTAATTCACAGGTAACAAAATCTCTATCTGTTTCCTCCTTACATTCTTTTACTTCAAGGAATGAATTGAGTTTTTGTAGAGATTGCCATTTATTTTAAACTGAAAATGTGCCCTTCAACTAGGGTTGCAAACTAGGCTGGCAAGGGGTCATTTATTAAAACGCAGAAAGGAGAGCACACAAGTTCAAGATTCCTTTCTTGAACTCCAAACTATGCTTTGATGTTATAATGAAAATATAAAGTGGCAAAAACCCTTTTAGCTTATATCCCTACTCTATTATCCTACTTTAAGAGAAAAACAAAACAAAAGCTTCCCTAAGTATGTGAATCACATAAGTCTGTATAAATGAAAGGCACTTTTTTATGGTAACATGAAAAAGCTACTGTTAATTCACTCCATACAACTCCAATTTAGCACCATAGTTTTTGAAAGCAGTAACTCAAATGTCAAAGGAAATGAATATCAGCCACATCTGTCAATTCACTTAACTCCTGCTATGTAAGGCCAAGATAACCACAGAGGTGTTTTGGAAAATAGCTTGAATTTAAACATCTGGATACTGTTCCAAAGAAATCATCTTAGATGTTCCCTTGGGCAATACTTTCTGACTTCCCACAGTTTACTTTACATTAAGCACACATAGAATAATGTTTAGCTGATGCATTAATTGCATGGTTTCTGAACTATATAAGCCCCATAGATAAGCTGAGCTTTATATCTGGCCTCTATTAGCCAATGTCACCCTGCAGATCCATGGTGTACTTATTTTTCTATCACTGGGACACTTACATCCCATTTAAGATAAACTCAGATAAATTGGTGAGGGAAATTGTTTTAAAGTACGTATCTATCCCACAAAGTCCAGTACATGCCCAGCAGTGATTCATTGACACTTCCTTCATGATCAAAATCCTATGATACTAAAGTATAACCAGATGCTACAGAACTTACATGCAGTACAATGCTATACTTTTAACAGCATCTTTAAGGACAATGATTGTCTTCTCAATCAATATTTTCTGGCATCCTTTAGCCACCTATAATGTATTTTAAACTCAAAAGAACTCTTCTAATGTGAGTTGTCAATCACACATCGTTACGGCAGCCTTCCCAAACTGGCGAATCATGCCATGTCTCGTCTTCAATGGTGCTTCAAAGCCATCACCTGATAGCAGTGGCCCAGGTGTCACTGGAGGGAGCACTTGGAAGGACCCATCCAGGTGGAATGAAATCTCCTTCAGGATGACCGGCAGGCACCAAGTATTGATCCCATTCATGCCTTTAAGGGAAAAAGGTAGACAACACACTGAGCACTGTATCTATCCCTTGTCTAAATTATTTAACCAAAAGCATGTATTCAGACAACTGCAGCTGAATACTGAGTTCACAAACAGGTGCAAAATATCATAGGAACATGGCTACAGGCAATGTGAATGAACTGTGGCTACTCAAGGGACCATTAAAAAAGCTGTTCTATTTATGTTCCATCTTTCTTTCAAGAGCATGCAATGGTACAGATCCACTCCAATTTTATCCTCACAATTACCGTGGTAGGTAGATTAATTTAAGAGAATGGATGCATTCACACACCAGGTTTACCCTGTGACTGAATTAACTTTATTTTGCACAATAAATCAAATGGTTGGTGTTTGTGTAACAAAAAGTACTAGCCAAACTTAGCGTGTTGCACAAATGTAGGTGTTAGGTTTATAAATGATTTAGTTCAGTATATGGTATAAATGCAACCCTGTTTTTGAGTGACCTGATGAGCCTGGGGGGGTGGGCTGAATCAAAATTTGAAGATTATAATCTGTGATGGATACCAATACTGGTTCTACTGTGGCTGGAGGGGCTGAATTGTGCCCGAGACAGGTTTTATATCTTTCATTAGAGCAATGCTTATATATCACAAAAACAAATGATCTCTCCTAAATTTAAAGGGAAATAAAAATGGTCTTTTCTCTCCATTCATTCCAGTTTCTGGGCCAAGTTAAAACCTCAACAGGTTTTATTAAACAGGACTATAATTCATTCTGACGATTTACAGTTTCTCATTACAGCATCCCCAACAGACAACTCTGTTGCAAAGTTTCACAGGACAATAAAACATGCTTTACACAACTACTGACGGTTATACAACCTGAGTTGTACAGACTCAACAATGCCAACTGAACAATGTACACCAACACCTCAATTTGTTTTATTGACTAATAAATGACTCTTACCTGATCTGGAGGAGAGCTGGCAAGGAATATTCAGCTTGCAAATAGTATTGTGTGAATGGCTCCAAGATGTGGGTAAATGGAAATTCTTCTAAAAATATAAATAAGTAAGAAAATCTTTACAGTCACCGAAATAAAAGCTTCCATTAATTGTAAGAATAGATCTCCTAGGGTTTTTTTTTAAGATGGAACTTTGTTTTAAATTCAGTAAGTCAGTCCTTGTGTTGACATAGAAGAACTACATAAATAAACATTTTGGGGAATAGTTACTTTTTAAAAATTCTGCTTGCAACTGAAATAAAAATAAATACTTTTAATGTAACTATTTCCTCTCCAAAGTGGCTATATAAGTGACGAGCATTCCTGGATTTCAAGGGTAAATCACCTTCTCCCAAAGCATGAGCACCGGCTTTCTGAAAATTACCTGGATCCCCAAACAGTTTGGATTCCATGTCACACTTCTGCTGCAGGAGTTTTTCCCTTTCCTTCTTCAGCTTCTTCTCCATTTCTCGTTTCCTTTCTTCCTCCTGCTCTCCTTCCAGCATGACTCGGAGAGCTCGTTCTTCAGCTTCGTAGAGTTCAGTGCGTTTTTTAATTGATGCTTTTAAATTCTGAACTTCGCTTTCAAAGGCTTCATCGGCAGCTGGTGGCGGACAAACACCTGCACCAAACACACGCAAGTGTTTATTGCTGTTTCCTTTTTCTTTTGTTTCAGAAGAATCCCACAGCTCACTTAGTGGTTTTCAACCTTTCCAAGCTAAAATCCCATCAAATGTCCGGTCAAAGAATCTAGGCCTCACTATGAAAGGGGGGAAAAAATCCTGAATTCTTTCTCAGAAGCACATTTATATAATTTATAAGAGCTGTGATGGCACAGTGGTTAGAATTGCAGGCTGTATTGCAGGCTAACTCTCCTGACTGCCAGCAGTTAGATCCTGACTGGCTCAAGGTTGACTCATCCTTCCATCCTTCCAAGATCGGTAAAATGAGAACTCAGATTAATTGGGGGGCAATTTGCTGCCCCTGTAAACTGCTTAGAGAGGGCCATAAAGCAATATGTAAGTCTATATTTATATATAATGAAGCATTATATAAGTCTAAGTGCTATTGCAGGCCCTTTTTCTCATTTATAGTTCTCATTCTTTTCTCATTTATAGGTTTTAGTTCAATAACATAGTTTCCCATTTAGATTTCTGAGTTTGATTTAAACCAATGCCTTCAGGGAAAAAATGAATATGATCTTTGGGATTTCCCCCCCTTCTCAGTTCCTCAATTATTTGCAGCAGAATAACTGAACAGGCTGTCCTCGACTTACGACTATTTATTTAACAGTGGTTAGGAGTTACAACGGCAATGAGAAACTGAATTTATAACCCATCCTCAGAGTTGCAACTGCAGCACCATCTCTGTGGTCATGTGCTTGCAATTTGAGCACTTGGCAACTAGGTGACATTTACAACAGTTGCAGGATCCTGCAGTCACATGGCCGCAAAGTGGAACCTACCCAATAAGCAAAGTCAGTGTGGGAAACCAGATTCACTTATCAAGTGCAGGAAAAATAGTAATAAAATTGGCTCTGGTGACATGACGACTCGATTATACTGATTAGCAACCAAAATTCCTGCCCCAATTGTGGTTATAAATCAAGGACTACTTGTATGTTTCTTACCCTCTATGCTCCAAGGTGGGATTGGTCCACTATGCAAATCTTCTAAGTTTATAATGAACATTAATATCTAAAGCATATTTTAACAAGGAAATCAGAAAAAGGAGTGAGATCTACTGGCAGAAATGTTAGGACTTTCTCACAAAGAAGGAGTACTGTACACCAAAAGGAGTAAACACAAAGGAAAGCCTGCACAGTCACAATTATGAATGGTTTAAAAAGTCCCGAATTTACCTTTCCTTCCCGCTGCTTCTTTTCTTAGTTTCCTAAGCTTTTCTAAGCCACGCAGGATTTCTGCCATCCGCTTTGTGTCTGCTTGCTTTTTTCTCACTTCTGATAACACACTATCTGCAGCTGCTTTAAGTTCTTGTTCCTAAATTAAAAGAATATCAATTAGAAAACAGAACAGGAAGACACACAACAACCTTGCAAACAGTAGGTGAAAGTGGGTCTTTGGAGCAAGAATGCAAAGAAAAAAAGGGCGGGAGCATTTTTGTGGAAAACTTCTTTTGCTCAGCAACACTATATGAAAGGCACCCGTTGGGAAGTTCAAGCTAATATATGTGCAAAAAATGAACAAACGACTGAGACAACTCTGAAACGTGCTGCCTTTATCCCCAAAGTACAACACAATGGCTCAAAACAACAACAACAAAAAAAGAATCAGTCGTTTAGTTTCTTTCTACTATCAGTCATACAAGATAATTTGTAAAACAAATAAATACAGGTAGTCCTTGACTAAAAACCACAATTGAGTCCAAAATTTCCATTGCTAACAGTTGTTAAATGAGTTCTGCCCCATTTTATGACCTTCCTTGCCTGAGCTGTTAAGTAAATCACTACAGTTATTAAGTTAGTAACAAGGTTGTTCGCTGAACCTGGCTTCTCCATTGATTTTGCTTGGCAGAAGGTCGCAAGAGGCTATCGTATGACCTCGAGACACTGCAAGTGTCATAAATAACATGTCAGTTGCCAAGCCTCTGAATTTTGATTGTGCGACCATGAGGATTCTGTAACAGTCCCAAGTATGTCCCAAAGGCGCTTTTTCAAGAAGCAACTGGACTTTCTTGTTTTTCTTTGAAGATGTTTTGCTTCTCATCTAAGAAGCCTCTTCAGCTCTGTCCTAAGTATGAAAAACGATCATAAGTCACTCTTCTCAGTGCTGTTGTAACTTCAAAAAGTCACTAAATGAATGGTAATAAATCGAGGACTATCTGTACGCAGTAAAACTTTTTTTTTTACTCCTATTGCCATGGCAAAACCATAGAGGCTTGTATTAGCAAGTCTTCAATGTCATCATAAAATTATAAATGTGTAAAATTATAAATATTCCTTGGTGAGTGGATATGTGAGTGGGTGTATGCATTGTTTTGTTCCTCGCTGTCAGTGAAATCCATTACTCCATAAACTTGCATTGAGGAAGAATAGGAATAGGAATAGACTAGACCGGTGTTGCCAAGCTTTTCAGCACAGAGTGTCAAAACCGAAGCTTGCATGCGTGGGTGGGGCAGCACCAGGAACCTGAAGAGCAGCTCCTCAGTGTGCATGCGCCAGCCACCTGGTCTACCGGTTTCTGGTGCGCATACAGACCAGCTAGCCGGTGTGCATGCGTCCACCGGAAGCCCAGCATGCTGCAGAACGGCTCTTCCAGTTTCCGGTGCTCCCGCGCGTGCAAAGACCAGCTGGCTGGTGGCATGCACACGCCAGAACAAGGAAGAGCAACGGGTGATGGCTGGCGTGCCTGGAGAGATGGCTCTGCGTGCCACTTCCGGCATGCCATGCCGTAGGTTCTCCATCGTGGGAATGGGCTATTCTTTATTGGCCAAGAATGACTGGACACACAAGGAATTTGTCTCCGGTGCATAAGCTCCCGGTAAACAACAAAGTGGTAAGTCATAGATCATAAATCCTAGTTACAATAATAAATCATAACATGAAAACAAGCGATGAATCATAAGATAGCCAAGGACAGATGAGAAAAATGAGAAGGACAATAGCAATAATAGCCCTACTACAGGATTTAATATCTTTAGGCATAAGAGAGGGCTGTGGGAGTTCAGCAAAGTGATGGCGGCAGTGTTTGCTTGCCTCTTCAGGTAGTCCTCGACTTATGACAACTCACCCCAGAATTTCTGTGGCTAATTTCTTCTGCATTAGGCTAACCAAGTTTTACCCCATTTGACAACCTTTCCTTCCAACATTTGTTAAAGGGATCACCGCAATTGTTAAACTAGCAATACAATTGTTCGAAGTGAACCTGGTTTCCCCATCGACTTCGCTTGTTGGAAGGTCGCAAAAGGGAATCACCCGACCCCAGGACACTGCAACAGTCATAAAATGAAACTGTGAGTCAGCTGTCAAGCGACTGAATGGAAATCAGGTGACCCCCGAGGAAGGCCGCAAGGGTCCTTAAGTGTGAAAAAATGGCCCTAAGTCACTTTATCCAACACCGTTGTAAGTCGAGGACTACCTATATTTTCTCTGCAGTTCCACACCGGGACCATCCAGGCAGCAAAAGGGGCAGAGCGTCGGGATCCCCCTGCTTGGCCAAAGCCCGGCCAGCCACGACTCCCAATGACGCCTTTTTTTCCCCCCTGTGGATCCCCGGACCCACCCGGTGCCGGTCCTCCACCTCCTGGGCTCGCCGGGCCCTCCAGCGATCGATGAGGGCTTCGCGCTCGGCGCGCCGGGCTTCTTCCTCCTGCCGGGCTACGCGGGCCTCTTGCCTCCGCTGCCGACGCCGCAGCCTCTTCCGACGGGCCCGCTCCAGCCGGGCCCGCAGCAGCTCAAGGGCTCCGGGCTCGCGTAGCGGCCGCACCAGGCCGCTGAGCTCCTCCAGGGCGGCCTCGGCTTCGGCCGTCTCGCCCGGCGTCGCTTCATCGCCCCGCCGCCGCCAAGCCGCGCAGAGCCCGGCCACGCGCGCCACCGCCCGCAGCGCCTCGCCCGCCGCCCGCGCCGCCTCGTCCGCCGTCAGGCCCCGTTCTCGACAGGGAGCCGCGGCGGCGGGGACGGCGGTCGGTCTCCGGCGCCTGACAAAGCGGCTGAGCCAGGCCTCGTCGCGGTCGCAGGCTTCGTCGCCCGGCGCGTCTGAGGCCTCGGGAGTAGGCCGCGGCGGGCCCTCCGGTCTCCATGGCAACGGCGGCCTGTCCGGCAGGGTCGGTGGCCACTGAGGAGGCGGCGGCGGCGGCGGCAGGAAAGGCGGGAGGCCTCCGCCTGGGAACGGCGGGTAGAGGCCCCGCGGGAAAGGCTGAGGCGGCGGTCCCCTGAAAGGCCCCGGTGGAGGCAGCGCGGGCGGGGGGAAGGCGGCGGGTTGCGGCGGCCCCGCGAAGCGCGAGGCGAAGGGAGGAGGAAGAGGCGGCTGAGCCATTACCGGAGTCGGCCGACCGGCCTTGTCTTTACAAGGGCCTCTTCCTGCGCCGTGGGAAGAGTGGCGCCCCCTGCAGGCTAGGAGGAGCGTCGGCAGGAAGAGCGTCTCTGTCCCGGAGTCGCTGCGGGAGCGGCATTGCGCCAGAACGGAAGAAGCGTCTCAAATGAAGAAGGGAAACGCCTTCAAGGGCAAAAACGAAGTCAATCAGCTTTTTTGGGGAAAAAAAAAATCTTTGGATTTGTTGGGTGGGGGAGAAGGGCATAGAGGAAATGGGCAAAGGAAGACCCCCCTGCGGGAAATCTTCCGGGCTGCAGGGTCTATACAGGTAGTCCTTGACTTAGGACTGCAATTGAGCCAAAAATTCTGTTGTTAAATGAGACGTTGAGTGAGTTTTGCCCCACTTTACGACCAGTCTTGCCACAGTTTGTTAAGCGAATCCCTGCAGTTGATAAGTTAGTAACCCGATTGTTAAGTGAATCTGGTTTCCCCATTGACTTTGCTTGTTAGAAGGTTGCCAAAGGTAATGGTCATAACTATGAACCACTTGCCAAGCATCTGAACTTTGATCACATGACAATGGGGATGCTACAAAGGTGGTAACTGTGAAAAATGGTCGTAAGTCACTTTTTGCAGTTCCATTTCTAACTTTAGTCACTAAATGAAATTTTGTAAGTCGAGGACTACCTCTGCTGCATCTGACCAGAGAGATATAAACATCTTGAGTTAATTGTGATCTGCCTGGGTTCAAATGCCTGAGTTGGGATCTGAATGATGTTTGGGCAATTTTTGAAAAGTTGACTCATCATTGAGATTCCAGAATATTTTAGACCGGGGAGGGAAAACCAGGAGATTGGTGATAGATAGCAGAATTCTTCCTTTCTTTACCATTTGCACCCTCAACAAGTGGTGGCAGGATTTTTAAAAAAGGGAGCCCAGCTTTTGATAGAGCTGAACCCTACGCGAGCCATCCCAAGTTGGTCTTTGGAGAGGCAGAGGACCAGAGTGCAGAGTTAGCAGGACAGAACATGTGATATTTTTCTCCTTGCAGGAATTGATTGCACTTTTTAAAACTTCTGCTGCATTTCTTTGAAACAGGCATGACCAGATTGAGTGCAAATTCCAGTCGTGGCCAGAGGGAACGCTGGAATTACTGGATCTATCCTGACAAATACGTATATACAATGAACATTCGTATAAATGCCTATTCCAGTAACTTAGCCTTTTGGGACAGCATGACTGTCCCGCTTAAAAAGCAGACAAGGTATAGCACTACTGCAAGCATCTGCCAGACTGCTATGCTGTATCTTCAATCTTCCAAGTACAGTTATCTTTCGGATAATTATCGTCCTGCACGATCACAGGCCATTCCTGCACCATGTTTTCTGAAATGTAAAGCCGTATTTCCCTATTGGAAGTGTACAGGCCATCTAAAAAAATAGACACTTTACAAATAGCTTTTGTAACATTATCATGCATCGGACCAGGCAGACGTGGTCAGAAATCTGTGGAAAAGCAATAAACTTAACAAGCTGGTAACCCTGCAAACCAACAGTATTTAGTCTTTTTAATTAAAAGACCTGGAGTCAAAAACATATGAAGAATGGTTGCAGGAATTGGGTATGGCCAGTCTAGAAAAAAGGACTGGGGTGACACGATAGCAATATTGTAGAATTTGAGGTTACCACAAAGAGATCAACTTATTTTCCAGAGTACCAAAAGGCAAGACAAGAAACAATGGAAACGAATCAAGGAAAGAAACAATTTCGAATTAAGGATAAACTTCCTAACAGTGAGAACAATTAACTAGTGGAATAGCTCGCCTTCAAAAGTTGTTGGGGCTTCATCACTGGAGGGTTTTAAGAAAAGACTGGACACTCACCTATTTGAAATAGTATAAGGTCTTCTGCTTGAGCAGTAGATTGGACTAGAAGACCTCAAAGGTCCGTTCCGGTTCTGTTCTGATTGGTTTATATTGTCACATTAAAAAGTGAGCTGTGCACAACGAATCTGCAGACAACTGATATCCAAACACAGGCTGAGGAACTTGAAGCTGAGATATCCCTTATCCACCATCGGTCATTACCACTTGTGATGGAGATTCCCATCTATTTTAACCAACTTGTTGAAATAATAAGTGGATTAATTATATGCTTAAACAGAGGTTATAATTTGCTAACAGATTTACATCTCACACAGAGAGGAAAGACATCAAATTTGTAGGTAGAGACTTTAATTTTCAGAAATGAATCAAGAACATTAGCGTGCCTTTTTTTTCTGTTTTTACAAATACTAAAAGGTCAAGTTAACTGAAAAACAAGAGATTTAAAAGTAACAGGATGCTGTATCAGCATTTGAGCTTATAATTTAAATAAGAATTTTGTGCAAACAGTGCCTACTGATCACATGAAAAATATACAATTTTGTTATGTTCAGGTGTCTTTGTGGTATAAGGTAATCTGGGAAAAATACCTGGCACCAAAAAACTGATGCTTGATGGTTTCAGTAGGTTCAATTAATGTACAAGATTAAAAAAAATTGGCGTAACATTTTCAATGTTGTATTGGACTGTTTCTGTAAATCTTTATTCTCCTCATGAAGGGTGCAGCACTTCCTTTATTCACCTAGTCTTATAACACACCTATTTTTTTCCTTAAGTGACATATATATCTAAATATTAAAAACCTTTGGTATTACACGTAATTATTTAATGCACTGCATTATGTTTTTAGGAAAACAGACTGCAATACTCTAAAATATAGCCATTGAACAGTCTGTTTACTCTAGAGCAATCTGGATGCTTGACAATAAATTTGTGGGTGAAAATACAGCCTTTTAAGTTCCACTGTTCCATTTTTAATGGTGGTCTCCAAAATAAACGTAACAAGAAACGCCAGCTCCCACTGCATTTAAAGCAGGAGAGTGATTAACCCATACTGAATGATCTTCAGACCAAGATAATCAAAATTGTATATTCATATACAAAATAACTTCCCAATTTTTCAGTTTCCTTGCAAAAATATTATCTAAATCTTGCTGGTATCAGCACTGCATTTTAACTTGAGATTGGGCAGAATTAACCAGGACTTGAGAGAATTTGCCTTTGCCCAATGACCATTCAAATATTTTTTTATGATGGTGACACAAGATCAGTTTGTTTGCAGCAACTATAGTTGTTTGTGAACGTGTCCTTTAACCTCAGAGGGGAATTGCTGAAGTCATGTTACTTTTAGGAAAGACTGTAGGCTGCCTAAGATATTTCGTATATATTTTAAGGTCCTGAACTCAACAGGCTTCTAATTGGGAGTGGGGAGACAATTTAGGAAGGAATGGGGGTAAGGGGGAAAATGTGTTTGCGTTACCATTCCTCTTCAGCCAGTTTAAAAAGCACGTTTTTGTGGGGTTTTTTTTAATTGAACAAAAGTTAATATACAATTCATTTTCTCAACATTATATCATTTTTAGTCCAAGTGTCCACTGAACAGACCCAGTGTGATGTTACAGAAACTCATGATTCCCCATGAGGGAGGCCAAAGTTTTCAACCATGGGTCCCTACAGTCGGGAAGAATCCAATGTTAGCAACAGGTTGCAGGGCCTCGTATGGTCTCAAACAAAGACTGAGTGCTTTTGCTGAAGAACAATCACTGTTTAATGGTTTGCGGCATCTGCTTGGCGGGCCCAACTTTCTTCTTCTACTCCCGAGTCGTATTCTTCCTCCGAGGAATCTTTAGTTGGAGTCCTATAATTGAAACGGAAGTAATGTCAAAGGGCTAAAATAATCAAAACATAGAACTGATCAGAAAATAAAAAGAAAGCAAGCTGAATTCTTTATTAACACCAAAATGAACATTTAATGATAGTCTCCATAATTTAAATTGCCCTGAGCAACTACAGACTTAATTACAGAATAACCACTTACCAAAAAAATTGTTTGAAAGGCTCTCGAGAAATAGTTCTTCGTCTAAGTCAACAACCAACCCAATCTAATTTGAAATTCAACTTTACCTGACGTATCCTGGTTCTTTCTTTCCTTCTACAACTTCTTTGTCCACCTCCACACATACTATGTCAGAGTTGGGTACTTCGAACATTGGTTCTAGCAGTAACTTTTCCTAAAGTTTGGGGATGAATAGAAAAGTTCAGGTTTTTTTTTTTCTTCTCTAAATCACTGTACACAATTTCTGTTTTAATGACTATCTAACAATAGGCAGTTATTTGGCCTGTTTCTGGGTCTGAACTAAAGTGTTAAAGTTTGTCACTGAAACTTTGATTCTGCACGAGGTGGGCCCTTACCAAGGAGATGCACCAAAATGCTACTCCCTGGTTTCATGATTATGAATAAAACAATTTCCTTCTAATCCTGCCTTGCAATCCCCAAATCAGTGCTGTTACCCACAAGACAAAGTGAGAGAGCTCTTAGAAGGGGAAAAGTTTTGGAAATGAGGACAAAAGGCACAGATTGAAAGACAAATTTATCTGATTCATGGCAGATACCCCTTCCTCAAATGGAAAGGGTGAATGCACAAAGGTAGCGCTTGCCTTACAAACCTCCTGCTTACTGAAGTCACGCAAGCATCAATGTATTTTTCCTAAGCCAGATATTTACATCATTTTATCTAAGATGATGGCCAAATATGGACTCTCTTCATATTATAGATATACTTCAGTTTACAGGGAAGAAATTGAAAAAAATGATTACCAGGGAATTGTCTCCTGTCAAGAAGGAAGGTTTTTTTTTTAGTGTGGTTCCTTCACTTGACTCACCAATTGCTTCCAGAGATTTTATACTCAGACATACAGAACACTCCGGGAGGGAGTGCAAAACACTCTGCAAACATCCACTTGAAATTATTATATGGAGGATTAATGGCTGCACACCCGGCAATTAAGCAGCAATCGGGCAAAAGCCACACTCTTACCATTATAGATCGAAGGCCTCTAGCTCCCGTCTTGCGGTCCAGAGCCAATCTGGCTATTGCCTTTAAAGCATCCTCTGTGACGTTTAATTCACACTGTAAGAAGATTATAGGCATTTTAAGAATGCTACATTTTCAAATACTTGGATTTTTTTCTCACATGACACTTATGCTTCTGTTTACAGAAGTCTAATGGACTTAAAGGTAAAACAGATACGGTTACTACAGGTAATTCTCAAGCTTATGATGACAATTGAGCCCACAATTTCTGTTGCTAAGCTAGAGTTGTTAAATGAGTTTTGTCCCATTTTATGACCTTTCTTGCCACTGTTGTTAAGTGAATTGCTGTAGTTATTATATGGCTGTTAAGTGAATCTGGCTCCCCCACCGACTTTGCTTGTCAAGACTTTGAAAAAGGTCACTAAACAAAATGTTGTAAGTCAAGGACTGCCTGAAATGACACAAGAACAAGTTCATAAGAACTCAAAGGAAGCAGATGCGGACTGGCTGCCCTGAAAAAAGGATGTCCATCTGTCACGAAGTAGTCAAAAACAATAGAAAATAGCAATAATAGACTTATAAAAGAGCCGACATGGCGCAATAGTATTGTAGGCTAACTCTGCCCACTGCCATTAGTTTGATTCTCACCAGGCTCAAGGCTGACTCAGCCTTCCATCCTTCCGAGGTAGGTAAAATGAGGACCCAGATTGTTGAAGGAAAGAAGCTGACTCTGTAAACCGCTTAGAGAGGAGCTGTAAAGTACTGTGAAGCGGTATATAAGTCTAAGTGCTGTTGCTATTAAACCTAAATCATATTTCCTTTTTTATATTATCCCCTTTAAAAAGGGAATAATTCCACCTCCCTGTAAAAAGGGAATCCCTTTAACCTCACTTAAAATCCACCCACCCTTTGAGCACACCCAAGCTTGACCTACAAAAAATAACATGCTATCCTAAGATGATGCCCTAAGAGGCAAACCTTGTCCATGCTGAATAACGCCTGGTACTGGGGAATGACTGCATTCCGGGGTTCCGTAAGTATCCGCACAAGAGTTTTCTCATCCAGGCTGTGCAGGGGAACGACCACCGGTAAGCGCCCCACAAATTCAGGGATCATGCCAAACTCGATCAGATCCCGGGCTTCGACGTGTCGAAGCAAGCGGTCTTTCTCTTCCATCTCTTGCTCAGAATTAGACTCGTTGCTCAGATTAGCCAAGTCGGCAGCAGCCGCAGCTCTTCGGCCTTTCCCCAGGTTTGACGAGGCGCCGAAGCCGAGGTACTGCAAGACAAAAGGTTCTGCCTTTAATAACAAAACCGAAGCTAACGTTTCGTTCTGGGTGTGTGAAAATGTATTGCAGGAAATTATGCGAAGGGCAGGTGGTAGGAGTCAGCCTTTTCCTAAGGATCTTTTCCAAAACTGACGGGATAGAGGAAAACCTCCATTGCATAATGTAACCCCTTTCAGTAGATTTTGAATGTAACCAAAAGAACATGAAGCCAAACTGTTTTAATGAATCATAAAATCCACTGATTTATAAATTAGACTGGATGTTTATACACTTTATATAATTAGTAAATTATAGATACACAGACATTCAAATGTAATATACCATGTTTTTCCCTATTTGGTTCGTAAAACTGAAGTTTAATTGTTGCCATCCCTCTTTTTTTTCATGAGATGTTTAGAGAGAGATTTCAACAAAATCAACGAATCAGTCTAAATTCAAAATAACTTGTCCAGAAATGTCACAGAAGGATTTGAATCCAATTTTTCCATGTGAAAGCCACATGGACATAAACAACTTATGTCCAAAAGTAGTCATTATAGCAACTAAAGTACAAAATAGTTTTCATCTTCCAGACAATGACAGCATTTTTCCTAAAAAGAATATGGTTATTAACGAATATTCTCTTTTGTTGGATTAACAAATATTTAGAGTGTTGGATGCAAACTGCCAGGCATCATGAAATCTTGAAGACGTTTCTGGCTGGAAACTTATACTTTAAATAAGAATTTTGTGCAAACAGTACCTACTGATCACATGAAAAATATACAATTTTGTTATATTCTGGTGTCTCTTTGTGGTATAAGATAGTCTGGGAAAAATACCTGGCATCAAAAAACTGATGCTTGATGGTTTCAATTAATGTACAAGATTAAAAAGTTGGCATAGCATTTTCTATGTTGTATTGGGCTATTTCTGTAAACCTTTATTCTCCTCATGAAAGGTGCAGCACCTCCTTTATTCACCTGGTCTTATAACACATCTATTTTTTTCCTAAGTGACATATATATTTAAATATTAAAAACCTTTGATATTAGACATAATTATTTAATGTATTACATTATGTTTTTAGGAAAACAGACTGCAATACTGTAAAATATGACCACTGAACAGTCTGTTTACTCTAGAGCAATCTGGATGCTTGACAATGAATTTGTGGGTGAAAATACAGCCTTTTAAGCTCCACTGTTCCATTTTTAATGGTGGTCTCCAAAATAAACGTAACAAGAAACGCCAGCTCCTACTTTATTTAAAACAGGAGAGTGATCAACCCATACTGAACGATCCTCAGACCAAGATAATCAAAATAACTTCCCAATTTTTTAGTTTCCTTGCAAAAATATTATCTAAATCTTGCTGGTATCAGCACTGCATTTTAACTTAAGAATGAGCAAAATTAACCAGGATTTAGTAAAATTACCTATCATACTGAATGATCCTAAAACCTATTTTTCCACATGAGCTGAACTGAATGATACCTTTGCCTTTTAATTGTGACCTCTGAAGGATATTTAGCAGAGTCCTCTTCTTTATACAGCTAAAGTATGCAATTTCCTTACCTTTTCATTTTTCCTCCGGCTGATTATTCTATCCAGACCATTAAATGCACCAGAAGCAACGAAGAGGATGTTGGTTGTATCAACCTGCACTGTTTCACCACGTAATTTGCGCGAATTCTTCTCTGGGACATTCACAATGGTACCTTCCAGTAATTTTAACAACCCCTATATGTAGAAACAGGAGAGGCCTAAGCAACACATTCATTATTTAAAATATGCATTGAACACCTTATAATTCCAAGTAGTTTACAACAGTGACTAATTGGGGCCTATGGGAACTTGTCGAAAGGGCACCGAATGAATGTAATTACACAATTGTTCTTCCATTCCCTACAACAGGTCTTGAGAGGCAAATCAGAGAGGTCCAACAGGAGAAACTGTGTGTAGCTCAGGATTGAACTGTGGAGCTTTTGTGCTCTCGTGAGCTTAGTTGTTCACAGACGTTTTATAACCCAACTAGATAATATCTTCAGTGGGAGTGGGTGTAGGATTTGCTCAAGGTACAAAAGCTTGTTCTGCCAGTTTTGGTATGGCTGTGGTTTTCTCCTACATAAACATGCATGTAATTGTTAAGAAGGGGACTGATGAGCTGCTATAAGCATCATCACTGCCAGGTTTTCCATCTTTTAGTGTTCACTCGCATGAAAGTGTTAAGAAGGGATAAAAACCCTAAGAGGTAGCTTGTACCTCCCAGGGAAATAAAACTGGTTTTTCTCTCAATCAGGGTGGGAATTTGGCGCTAACTGGAATTACTTCATTGCTGAGAAGCGAAAGTCTCCATACTTACTTGCTGAACCCCTTCTCCTCCCACATCCCGTAATTGATGAATGCCTGGAACGCTGCCAATCTTATCCACTTCATCCAGGAAGACAATGCCTGAAAATTAGAGGCAGTTGAAGTGAGGAGCTTTTGAATGACACAAATACAATTAGCACACAGGGAAGCCCATTTTTGTTTTCTAGGACGGCAGTGACAGAGGGAGAAAATGCTCCCTGGGACAT